AAAGGTTAAACTGAAAGATGTTGAAATGTTATTTTATGGCTAATTCTGTCATTTCATAAAGAAGCATTGATCGGTGCTGCTTCTATTCTAATGATTTACTGATTACAACGCTTTGCACTTTTTGGACAGAAACGGTTATCGAGTCGTTTTTTTTATAGTGTTCAGAGGAAATTATGGGCTGTGTGGAGAAGCCTGATATTTATTGTTGTTTGTGTGAGAGGGAGAGTTTATTATTGTGCAGCATTTCCCTAATAAACACCAACATCACTGCAGATATCAGGAGTGTTTGTCAGACTCTGACAGAATGAAATACATTTTTAATTTAAAGCGGTTTTTTTGTGCCATTTCTGGGAGGATGTGATCTGAAATGTTGTAAACGTGGAGCCGCCGCCAGAAGGGTTTTTTTTCTATTTTATGTTCTGAAACTTTATTAACAGCTGATTTCCTTCAACAAACCCGGTGAGGACACGAGTGGCTCTCAAACTGCTCACGGTGGAGGAGGAGGAGGGAAAACACAAAGCACAACAAATCCCCTGCCGGTTCTGGGTTTTGTGTGCATGCGGCGCCAGTCACAGTGTCACCAGAACCCTCCCCGTCGACGCCTCGGGACGGGAACAGACTTGCCGTGCGGCCCCCCGGGGGCGGCGGCGGGCAGCGCCCAGGCTAACATTCATCAGGCTGCTGATTGCTGCTAGTCCTGCTCTCACCCCGACGCTGCCGGAGAGACAAGCTGTAATTTGATGTTTTGGGGGATTTTCGCCTCTTGTCGGTGGGGAGGGGGGTCCAGGAGGAAGGGAGGGGCCCTGGAGGAAATAATTACTCCTCCATCGACCCGGGAGGAAGTCCTCTGGCCGGTCAGGCTGCCCCCGGTGGATGCTCGCCCCTCGACGGAGCAACAACATCCGGCGAAGCCACGACTCCGAGTGCTGTGATAATTACAGGCCCCGGCACAAAACAAGATCCACTTCATCCACATCCAGGTTTTGTTTCTCAGATCAGGAGCTCCTCTCTCACAGAGGAAACCACGACGCTGATCCTCCACCAAACCATCAGTCCCCAGAAGCCGTGAGGTCCCCAAACGCACCACGGCAGCAGAGGAACCAAACCGACTCCCAGACGTCTGAGGAGACTCGTCCACGTCTATCTGAGGACTTATGGCGGCTGTTTGGGAATAACTGGTTTATCTGATTGGTTGTATTCAGACGCTGTCCAGGACACATTCCTGCAGCATGTGGTCACGGGTCAGAACCACCGGAGCAAAGTTCATCTGGTCCGTCTAGTTCAAATGTGTGTTCTTAATTAGGTTTAAAGTTACTGCTTAGGTTAAAAAAATAAACTATTTATTATTATTATTATTATTATTATTATTATTATTACTATTTATTTGTTTTGTTTTGTATATAGAAAAAATAAAAACCCCGCCTCTCCTTTTAAATGAAGTTTAAATATTTTTTTTATTTACTTTTTTCCTTTTTTTCCATTTTTGTCATGTCTCAAAATAAATGATTTTGTTATATATAAAAATAAATATTAGAATTTTTTACATTAGTGCTTTTGGTATACATAAAAAAATATTATTCTTTTTTCTACATTCCCTTATAATATATTTTTGTATTTTCTTTTCTTTTTTTTTTCATTTTTCCTTTTTTGGCCACATTTAAAATCTCTGCTGAATCTAAGCCGACCGTCTGAATGTCTTCAGTGTGGATGTTCAGTGAACTGAGTCACTAAGGTTCTCACAGTGAAGCCGAACTGAACTGGGCTCTCAGTTCAGCTCCCTGACATTTGACGATCGTGCCTCCTGCGCCCGGCCGTCTGTCTTCAGGCCTTTCCCTCCCGTTAAACGGACTCGCTGGGTTTGAGTCAACAAGCAGCCTTGAAGTGGGCTGCGGCCGCTGCATGGCTGCTTTGTGCAATCGGCCGCTTGTGAAACACTCGTAGCTGCAAGACGACAAGAATAAACTTGAACTGAGGTTGCGGAGGGAAGACGTTGCGCCACTGTTGTACAATCTGTGTGACGAGTTAACAGAGGAGCTGGTGGTTTAACAGCTTCACTCTCAGCTTTTAGTTCTGCTATCCGGCTCGTTTTCGCTCCTTCAGCCGAATGTTTGCGAATGATATTTGACATTCGTGCTCCGGCACCGAGCTACATGCAGCCTGACGGTGGACGCTGAAGCCCGGTGAAGTGGAGGGAAAGGTAATCCGGATTTTCCATGTGACAGGACATGGCGGGGGGTGCGGTGGCCGGAGTCTGGCTGCTGCCCCGAGGAGCTTTTTTGGCCGATCGCCTGATGGAACCGATGGACGAACTCCCGGGAGAGGGGAGCCGAGGGCCAGCTGGGGCCCAGTCTAATAAGGGACTTTACTGGTGCGCCCCCCGCCGACGCTCTGCACAGGAAAGCAGCATCACTAGATCCATGTCAGCAGCTGCCTCCATCAGCTCCAGCAGCTATTGCTGGTATGTGAGAAACAGAGCCAGGGCCTAAAGGCTTTTCCCCGGATTAAAGGGCTTCAGATGGGGGTCTTTTTCATGGCCGCTCAGGTAGATTCCTTCAAGGACCACGTCGGCTGCTGTAGTTCCTTCGTTACCATCTACACTGGTGGATTCCTACACCTCCAGGCGCTCTTTGGTTTTTGTTACTTGATACATGATTTTGAGGTTTTTAAGGTACACACAAGTCCTTTAAGGCAACCTGCTGGTAGACAAAACACATTTCTTACCTTCTAAACATGTTTCAGTTGTGAGTTCAGACCAAAACCCAAAAATACAGAGTTTACCTCCAGAGAGAACTCAGGAAACCACAAGAAGCCAAACAGGAAGTCTGAACACGCCACAAGACTAAACGGAACATCGATCTCCTTAATTGTTCTGTAGCAAGCCTGTATTCATTTATGCCAATTTTGCTTGATTTTAACTACGTCCAAACTGGTTTTTAAAGCACATACAAGTCATTTAAATTGTTTTTTCCACTATTAACACGTCCAGCTCAACGTATTTTAATCATGCATGTAGTCCAAACCCAAAAATACAAAGTCTACTTCCAGAGAGAACTCAGGAAACCACAAGAAGCCAAACAGGAAGTCCGAACACGCCACAAGACTAAACATAACATCGATCTCCTTAATTGTTCTGTAGCAAGTCTGTGTTCATTCATGCTTGATTTTAACCAAGTCCAAACAGGTTTTTAAAGCACATACAAGTCCTTTAAATCAAGTTTTTTCCATGATAAACATCCCAAGTCAACGTATTTTAATCACGTGTTCAGTCCAAACCCCCAAAATTATTACGTTTACTACCAGACAAACTTTATACCAGAAATTTGTAATTTTTGCTTTATACATACCAATACTTCTCTTGATTTTGATCATCTCACACTAGATTTTTAGGCCTTTAAATCCACACATTTTGATTTCGTGTTCGGTCCAAACCATAAAAGTCAGCGAATACCAAGACTCCTGTTGATCTGAACCACGTCGCAACAGATTTAGGTCGTTTTAATCTGTTTTTTAACTTCTTAGCATGTCCATATTTATCTGCGCATTCAGTCCAAACCCAAAAATACACAGTTTGCTATCAGAAGAAACTTCGTAAACCAAGAAAATTGGGATTTTTGTTTCACAAATGTCAAAAAACACCAAGAGTTCTGTTGATGTTGAGTCCCCTTCAGCCTCCCTTTTGTAAAATTCTAGGTTTACTATGAGAAAAAGCCACGTAAACCAGAGAATAATCAACATTTTTGAGGCAAGAACCAGTTTTTGTCCTTCATTTGCAGCACAAGATCAATGACCAGAGATAACACCGGCAGGAACACTGGCGGCATGAAACCTGGTTGAAAGTAGAAGAGAAAAACATCCAGGAGAAGCCGAGTCGCCTCCCACATTCTCAAACTCGGCTTGTTTACCTTTCTCACATTATGCGCCCGGCCCGAGTTATTGGATGTAACACATTAAGCCGGCGAATCACTAAACCTCCTCCTAATCCGCGCAGACGTGTTCAATGATCAACCCAATCTTTAACCTCGGCGTCTCAGCCAGAACAAATAGGCTGATCTGGAAGTATGCGTCGCATCAGTTTAGCCGAGCGGCTGCAGAGCGCATCGATTCCTTCACCCCTGATTGAACGCGCAATGGGGCATCGGCCGAACCAGCCGCTTCGAGAAAACAGGAAGCGCTTCCCAACACGACTCTCTTCTTCCCCCCGCAACAGTCCGGCTCCCTCTTAAGGTCATGTTTGGTTTGCCGGTTGTTTATTGTTCCAGAGAGTCCCGAACCCGAGTTACCACGGCCTCCGACAGGTTTCTATTTTTGGGGATGCATTTGGAGGAGGGTCGACCTTCCTCCTGGGTCTGCTGGTGCTGGTGCTGGTGGGTCGGTCATGGAGGATGAAGCTTCACATATCCTGTGTTACCAATAAACTGTCATTTTAAAGAGCCACAGATGTCAAAATCAGAATTAAACATCCTGAGAAAGCAGCTGACTATCGTCTTGTGGTGATGTTGCACTTAAAAGAAAACAAAGACGGCATCAGTTTTTCTAAAACGTGACCGAAAATAGTTGTAAACATCTAAATGTTGATGCCTTTTGTTTTCATTTTTGTTTCTTTTGAGCCTCACAATTTTTGTGGAATGTCTTTGTGAAATATTTCGAATACGTTTTGTCATAATTAAGATGCAACCGACACCTTAGTGCCAAAAAACTGCAGTTCCTCAAATGGCCACTAGAGGCCAGCTCAGAAAACAAGTCAATCCCCACAAACTTCCATATTAAAATGAACAACTTTACAGCTGAAATAAAGATGTTTACAGCCTGGAACCAACATGGTTTATATGAATGTATCAAAACTCAGGGTTTCTACAAATAGTAATTTGTTATTTTACAATGTTTTTACTGTATTTAAATGGGAATAGAAAACTCAAAAGGTGGTAAATAAATTGTGAAATTATTATTATTATTATTATTATTATTATTAACAGAATAAACAGTATGAACAGAGTGGTATAAATGTGCTCCACTGTAAAAATAAATAAATAAATAAGATGAATAAATAAATAAATATTTGAGCAAAAATATAATTATTTTACAGATAACTTCCATTACTTCCAGAATTATAATTTTTTATTTGAACATTACAATATCTTGTCTGTTTTTTAAAACATATTTTCTCCATTTTATCGTTTTCACAGTTTTTTGCAAATTTTTTTTTTAACAGTGTAAGTATATAAATGGAATAAACTGTCGGTCATATCGGTGTGTGAGATAAAAGATAGATAAATATAAATATGGGGACAGTCATGTTGTATTGATGAAGATGTGACATAAAGACTTTCCTGCTAGCGTCCATTAGCTTATTAATTTAATCAGTCAGTAATAAAATGTTCATCACATGCTTTAGATATGAGCTCCATCGTACTTGTGAGGTCGTGGCTCCAACCAGAACAGCTGAGGTCGACGATAAAACCGTTCTCCTCCCAGTGACATTATTTCTCACTACGTCCATCTTCGTACTCAGTCAGATCATAACGGTAATGAAAGAGCTTTAAATCATGAAGGAGTCTTTGGTTTGAGTGAAGTTGTTTTTAGCTTTAAGGACCCGACAGAAGCTTTTACGCTTAAAACGAAACCACTCAACGCTCAGACATCCAGACCGTCGGTGCAACAGAACCACAGTCTACCGTAAACTAACACCGGCTGAACTGCCTCCTCAGGTTCCTGATGTGTGATGGTGGCCGTGGCCGGCTGTGACGTTGCCGACTGCCTCTCGAGTCCCGTTAGAAACCAGGAGGACCGAGCCGACCCGACCCGACCGGGCCCTGGGAGCAGCGCACCGTCGGTGAGTTTGCGGACGTCACAAGCATTGATCCCAACAGGCGAGGACGAAAAGGTGTCACCTCGCCCAACACAAAGCAGGAAAGAAAAAAAAAAACAAAGAAAAGGTGTGAGAAGACGGTCGCTGCTGGATTGACACGGTGTCAACTTTCATCTGAGTGCGTTTGAACCGACAAGAACACAGATTTATGGATGAACAGTGTGTCTGGTGTCGGTGTGAACATGTTTGGTGCGTCTACGTCATGAACTTTGTGTTACAGGTTCCACTGTGTTTTCATTTGTGAGTCTTTCTGCCTTAATTCTATTTAAAAATGGTCAATATTAATTAATGTTTAAAACCTTCTTTCATCGGGAACATTCATTTTTGTTGGGGGATATTCTTACAGATGTTGATTTTTGTGTTGTTTGCTTGGCACTACTTGGTGGATCAATGTTTGAAGTGCTGTCACGTGAGAAATAATCGAGTGAGAGTGCTGAAATTTTGCAGGTTCATTGATATTTACATGTGATCCCCAATAGTGGAACCCTGCTTTGATATAATAATACAAGCCAGTTATATGATGGTGTAAATTTGGTTAAAAATGTTAACGTTTCTGTCCATAAAACCTTCATTTTTCACCCTAAGAGGCTGAAATAGTTTCCTCTGATTGGCACCAATGGGAGGTTTAACAACGTGGAGTATGTTCCCTTTTTTTTTGCATGTCTGGCCAACGTCAGGTAAATCATTGAGCAGGTATGTCGATGACACCACTCTGATAGCGTCGCAACTTGGAACAGTTCAATCATACTGTCTCTGGGCAAAAGGTAAAATCATGGTTTTCCCAATGACTTCCTGAAAAGTGGCACCATCTGTGTTGTTCTATCAAAGCAGGGTTGTACCATTGGAGACCATATGTACATATCAAGTTTCATCACTTCAAACATTGATCCGCAGATTGGCGCCAAGAAGACGACGCAATAAATCGACATGACCCCACCTTCCTTGAGAATATTAAACTCAAACACGACCTGTGGCTGCTGATTTTACACGTTTTACTTGATACAGAAAAACAGTCAGACGTGAACTTTTTGTGAAAACACAATTTGGTGAATTGAGGCGGCCATCTTGTTTCTGTCTCCCCAGGCAGCGGCAGCCTCGCGGGCCTCAGGACGAACCAGACCCCCAGCCTCCATCACACATCGAGCCCCTCCAAAGTCCCTCCAACTTCTTTTTTCTTTTAATTTTGTTTTGTTTTTTTTATACTGTTACATACTCGAGATTTTTCCCGCGGCGCTTTGGCCACGCCTCCTCCGACGCGAAAAGGTACCGAAAACTGACTGCATCATCGCCCGTCCGACGTCACGCAAGCGTAAAGAGACGGACCGCCGGAGAAGGAGCGCAACAAAAACAAAAAACGCGATTTATGCAGCCGCTTTGCAACGGAAGTGTGGCTAAAGCGCTAGCGGGGGCGACGTTATTATATGACTATAATTATTACTATTCTGTATATCATTCATATTAATGTTATTATGATTATTAAATACATGTTGAAGCATGACTTTGCAAAAAAAAAAACTGAAGAAAAAAAAAACAGAAAAGAAAAAAAAACAACGCTGTACATTTTTAGATATTTTAAAGAAATACAAAAAGGTATTTTTGTAATCAAGTCAGAAGTGTGTGAGGAACTTTCATACGTTTTTGTTTCCTTTCGCCCTTTGTGTTCTCGTGCCATCGTGAGTAACTCGTCCGCCCTGCTGAACCAAAGCAGCCCTGTCAGTTTCCCAACATGCTGCGTGGAGGGTTTTTTTGTTCTCCGTCTTTACCTGACAGAAGCCCTTTGTGCGGTCACCTGATCCAGCTTCACAGATCTGCAGTTTTTAAGGTAATCAGACGTGTTTTGTTTTTTTTTAAAAAAAAGAGGCATTGACAGGAATAAGCCATCGCCGGTGACGGTAGAGCGACCCAAACTGAGCCCTTTTGCTATAATTAGGAAATCTGCTCCTTCGTCGTGTAGCGGCGGGACGGCGACGCAGTATAGAGAAACAAAAGACCAAAGGCATTTCTTTTTTCTTACACTGGAGAGCTATTTCATTTCTGACTGCGTTTGTAGTCTGATTTCTTATGAAGTGCGACGTTGTTTTCCTTTTTGGTGTCACTCCAAAGAGCCGCTCTGCATCTGAAAGGACATCCACTTTTGTCTATTTTTAGGGGGAGCCAATGTGTTGTTTTTTTATTTTGTAAAGATCGAATTTACATAGCAAATGATTGGAAGTGTTTAAAAAAAGACAACTTTTCTAATCTTTCTGGGTCTGCAATAACGTCTTTGCTGTACGACATATCACCGACTCCATCGTGTTCCTGTGACACTTTGACGCCGGGATGTAAACGAAAAAAGAATTTGTGTATTTTTCCGATGAAGTCGCCGTGATGTGACAATCGACGAAAAAAAAAAAAAAGCTGAAATACTGTAAAATGTTCCCCCTTTTTTTCTTCCGCCCAGGTTGTGTACAATCATATCGGACTGCTCGAGTCGTAGTCAGTGTTTGTAATGAATTATATGCATCATATACTGTATATCATATCGACTGATTTTTTCGGAAGCGGTTTTTTTTTTGCTTTTGCATTTTTTTAAAGCCGAGTGTGGCACCAAAAAATTTATTAGAACAAGTATTTATAAAAACCTGTGTGTGTGTGTGTGTGTGTGTGTGTGTGGGAGTGTGTTTTTTAATGGTCTTTCTAAAGCCCATCTATTAATTCATTGTAAGTATTATTGTAAGTTTTAAAGAAAAAAAAATTGTATATTCATTTGGTAATTTTTTCTAGATCTTTTTTCTTTTTCCTTTCTCGTCTGTCCGATTGCTGTATGTGACGTGTGTGAATACTGTTTTCCTGCATCATTCACTGTGAAACCCGGAGGACGAACTCTGAGCGGATGGATGTGTTTTGCCAGCGGGACGGTACAGAAGTTCTTGGGGTTTAAAAAAAAACAAAAACCCCACGACGACGATCCCTCCTCTCTGTCCATGAAAAATATTCCTTTTGTTTTGGGTATAACGTGTGCGTAGCTGTGTGTTCTGTGCATGTTCACGGCATGTGTGTGTGATCCTACTTTTCTTTTGTTTTTGTTTTTTTTCTCTTCTCAATGCATACAGTACTGTTGATATTTATGTACCTTAGCCGCTGTAAGGAGAAACTGTATTTCGGTGAATTGCAGAGGTTCGTTTGAAACTGAAAACGATGACGACAAAAAAAAGAAAAAAAAAAGAGTTGATCAAAATGAGAAGTTTTTAAGAAAAATGTTAAATGAAGACATTTCAGGCCGTCTGCCATTAAAGATTGACATAATCCCCGCTGTCATGATCACGTTATTTACCTTCTGTTTTGGGATTATACTGTGAGCGGTAAAGACTGTGTGATAAATAACCATAAAGGAATATGTGATGAGTCAGATTATAGCAATAAATGATGTTATTAGTTCAACATTCTGTGAAAACTGTGTGTAAGAGATAGCTAATGCGCGTTAGCTTGGCAAGCTAGCAACGCTAATAAAATCTGCAAAGCATAAAGGATGGCACAACATTTATTACGTTTCAATTGAGGTACATTTAACGTTACTCGAATGTTAACTTCTAAGTAGCATTACCTAGCTAAATTTGTTAGCATTAGCTTGCCTGCTACATCGCTTTAGCTTATTTTACAAGGGTTCACACTGTGGTGCTACATCTATGTATATCTTCTTTCTGTGCAGCGTGTGGTGTAGTTTCATGACTCGTGTAGCTTTTGCGCTAGCTAGCTAGCTAGAAGGCTAACGCTCTGAGTGTCGGACTGTTCTCCAGCGCCGTGGAGAACCTCCCCACACCTCATTAGAATTTTTCTATCAGGGTAAAAATGCTCAAGGTTGTTTGTATTTCTTTGAACCAACATGTTTTAAAATCTCCTTTGCAACAGGAAACAACAACTACAGTTCTCTTGCAGGAACCTACCACAGTTAGCATTTCAGGTTTTGCAGAGGATTCGGATCGTGCAGTAACGCAGCTCTGCAAATTTTCTTTGGTGTGAGGTTTGCTAGCATAATGAGATCATTGCATCTTATTTGCCGGATTTTACAAAACAAAAGAAAGAAGCAGCAAAGAAAAGAGGAAGCAGCTCCTCTGTTTGGTACCACTTTCATGTTTGCTACCTTTGCACCAACAAAGCGGTCCTGACTCATCAGATGTTGACTTTGGGTATAAGTGTTCCATTGGTTATGCATTTGACGCAACTTTGACCTCCTTTTTGGCTTCATCTACATAATCATTTTCAAATTCAACAACTTTCTGGCAGCAACCCAACACGTTGAACATTTCAAGATTTGTCGAGGGTTTAGATAGACTCAGAAAATAGAGATGCTTCAAAGAAACAGGAAGCAGCTCCTCTGTTTGGTACCATTTTCCGGTTTACGAGAGTTACGTCTAGATTTGGTCATTTTCGGATGCTACCTTTTCCCCACAAAGCCATTCTGACTCCCCAGATGTTGACTGTGGGTCTTGGTGTGCCGTCGGCGATGCATTTTGACCACTTCACTTTCATGTTAAAGATAATTAAGATTGGGCTCCGGCGCTACCTTCTACCCACATAACTAGTGGAAATCCACCTGCATGCAGCTCTATTTCTTCCTCATCTCTTGCACTTGTCACCGGATAACACCTCCCCCACAATCCCGGGAGACGATCAAAACATGATGTGGGATCCTATAAAGTGGTTTGTGTACCGGGGGAGCTGCAGACCTCTCCCTGCCCTCTATAAGAATAGCCCGCTGAACCCAGGGGCTGCCGACTCCCGAGACAGAGGCCACAGCCAATTTAGTTTCTCGCCTCGCTGTCGACACTCGCTGCCGTCTGCTCGGTCGCACCGGGTGGCTTCTCGCGTGACACGTCCGAGCCCTCAGGTGTTGGCGCAGGGTGTCGCGGTACGGAAAAAAAGTAGGGGGGGATAAAAGTGTTCATCTGCATGCATGCAGCCGAGCAGCCAACACTCTGTAATGGTGTTACTCCCCGTGACAAGTCCATTAAAGAGGTGTTGCTGTCTCCTTTCACTCATCCTCTCGCAGCTGCAGAATGTCAGATAAACGTCCTCGCAGAGAAGTGTTTTCTGCAAGACGGAAATGTTCCACTTGTATCAGTCCGTTGCCTGCATCTTGTTTTCTTTTTCCCGGTGAAACATTGACCAAACGCTACAAACTGTGCCTGAAAAGAGTCGCAGCGTGTCCATTTAACGCGTCGCTGCCCAGCGCGTGCCCTCTTTAAGTCCTCATTTGTTGAGGCCCGAAGGGGGTGAAAGTCTCTCAAACAACCTGGAGAACGGTCACAAAGCTCCGAGGCTGTGGGGCTGCTAGCTGAATGCTAATGGCAGCATATTAACATGCTGATGTTCAGCAGGTTGGCCAAGACTTTGAAGCCGCTGACAGGTGAAGTCAGTAGAGTTGATCGTCCTGTTTTAAAATGATGTTCTGCAGGGAAATTTTGGGTCACGGTGTTCATGTGGATGTTATGTTGATGTGTACCACCCAAGCATAGCCTCCCAAAGCAGGACAATGTGACAGCAACATCTGCTCTGGAATGGCTCGAGGAACAAGACCAAGAGCCCAAAGCGTCTCCAGATCCTAGTCAAGCATTCACCAAAACAAGCCTCATCAATGGAGACCCCATCAGAATGTAGTGAATATAATGTGAAGACAATGAAGGAATTTTACAAGTAGCATTATCTAGCTATCTTAACTAGCACTAGCTTGCCTGCTAAATCACTTAAACTGTTCTTTGTCTTCAAACAACATAGTATACAGATATTTACCTTCTGTGCACTGTATTGTACTGCTGTATGTACTGTTGTTTAATCATGTCATATAGTATAGTTTCATTAATAGCAAGCTGAAAAGGCTAATGCTAAGTGCGTCAGACTGTTCTCCAGAGCTGTGAGAGGTGCTCAAGGAACACAACCAAGAGCCCAATGTGGTTGAACCAATGGAGCATCTGAATGACTTTTACCCATGAAGACCTCACCCTGCAACCCACAGGAGGTTCCTCATGAATTGTGTTTTATTTGTTAGCATTAGCTTGTCTGCTAAATCATTCTAGCATTGTAATATACACAACATTGTGTAGTTCAGTGGCACCACACAGTGTAGCTTCTGCGCTAGCTAGCTTACAAGGCTAATGGTAGGCATGTCAGACCTTTCTCCAGAGCTGTGGAGGAACAAAGAGCTAACTTTGCTAGGATTAGCTTGCTGGCTAAATCACTTTAGCTGCTCTTCAAATTGTTCTGACAGTGATGCTACAGCAATATGATATAATACAAGCACCATGGTGTAGTTTTACGACATCATGCAGTATAGTTTTAGTGCTAACTAGCTTAAAAGGCTAATGCTAAGCGCGTCAGACCATTCTCCAGAGCTCTGTTATGTAGAACGGACTGCTTTATGGCACGAACCAATTCCTAAAAAGGTTGCTGCTTGAAGGTAGTTGAATTTGAAAGTGATAACGTGCATGTTCTACCAAAGAGGAGGTAAAAGTCGGGTTAAATGCTAAACTAGTAGTAGACTTGTACCCGCAGTCAACATCTGGTGAGTCAGGCTAGTTTTTTTCTGCACAGGGTCTTCAGAAGGCGGTAGTATAATCTGTGTTACACCTGGTGTTATTAAGTAGAAGAAATCAGCTGCTACAAAAGCCCCCAAGAAGAAGAAGAAGTAGAAGAACAAGCCACAAACAAAACCAGTTTGCTGATAAGTCTTTGGGAACTGTGTCCATTTACACCAGTTGTGATCTTGGTGTCAGCTGATGGTGTCAGGAGTCTCAGAAACAGCTGATCAGTCATGTGAGCTACATCCAAACCTACATGAACAGGGATAAAAACATTTTTACAAAACTGGGGGAAGGTTATTTCTTTGTAAAGCTGCTGCTTCCTTTTCTAACACAGGACTTCAGAATGTGTTGATTTTCTCACGGCCGGAGTATGAAAGTGAAAAAGTATCCGCCCCGAGATCCGTCTCCAACCCCGTCATTATCATACTTTCAACCTAATATCTCCTCCAAATTTGCAAGCTTGGCACATCTGAGCTGCATGAATTCTAAATGAGCTATGTGGGGAGGTTCAGATAAAGGGTTCGGCACTGACTAATTCCTGAGTCATGGCTGGTGTGCTCCACGGCCTGCACAGTCACCGTCTAAGCGCTGGTTGGACGGACGGGGGGGTTCTTGGAAACGTTTCCCAACCCAAAGGCCGACACTCCCCTCTGCTCTGCTGGTGTCTCTGAGATCAGATTAGCATCGGAGTGAGTCAGTGGATTAGATTTCGGGTCTTTTCTCCGGCCCCCCTCCCCGGTCGGACCCCGAACAGCGACTCTCCCACGACTTTCCCTGATTTCATGCAGCTTCCTGCTCCGCCAGAGTCCAGGTTTTAGTTTAAAGCCTCCAGTTGAGCTCCGGTAATTTAGTCTGAGCAAACAGGGTGTGTGTCATATGATAACTTCACTGGGGATGACATCATTGAACAAGTGGGTCCTTTTATTCCCCCCTCAGAGCTCCACAGCGCCCCCCAGTGGCCAAACAGAGACACTACAGCATCCATCTACCAGTCCAGACTCCATTTCAGTTGTGTTTAACTGTAAATAATGCTAAGATGCAGCATCAGCGTCTTCTTTTGAATCCTTTGACTTTAAATATTTTTTATAGACGTTCTTATTCTTTCAACAACAAAAAGTTATTCATGTTAAATAATAATTAAATCAATAAATTTATTAGATATTTGCTCTCATGTTTAAGATTTATTCTCTATTTTCTTTTATTTAATTTATCCTTTTGTTTTCTTCTCTCACCCCGTGTATCTGTTCTTTACTTTACCGAATCAGTGTCTTTATTTAAATCTCTTTTTTAAAGATAATTTTTATAGACTTGCTTTTATTTTGTTCTTTTGCTCTTAAAAAAAAAAAAACATTAAATCTAAATTAATTAATTAAAATAGTTTAATAATTTAATTAAATAAATAATTTATTAATTTAACCATTGTTTATGTGGTTTTAATCTTCGTTTTCTTTTACTAATGTTATATTAATAATAACATAATTTTTTTTCTTTTTTGCTGCACATCTTTGTTGTTTTTTTTAACTTCCTTGAATCGCTTTACTTTAAATATTTTTTCGAGACTTATTCCTGTGTGATTTGTGTTTTTTTTTTTTTTTTTTTACTTTTTCGTTTTTGTAGAAATGATTCATTTAAAATCAGAATTTATTCCAATTTTAACCGCTATTTCTTCATGTTTTTAGTCCCTATTTTCTTTCATTGTCCTATTTTTTATTTATTTATTTTGTTGTTCCCATTCTTCACTTTCCTTTTTTGTCTTTTTGGTTGTTTTTACCTTCTTTTTTTTTCTTTTTTTAAAAAAAATATTGAATTGTTTAAAAACTGACCCTATTTTCACTCATGCTTTTCTTTTTGCACTGTGAAAGGTGCTCTATATGTGAAGTTACTATCATCATTTACTACCTTACATACTGTTATGAAGCCTACAGTCTGCATGTGAACCGTTGCCACCCAGTTTTCTCCTCCGCTCTGGTTCAATCCGTCATATTTTGGTGCGATTTGCATGCGATGCCGGTTTGACAACACAAAGGCAGCAGCTGAGCCCTGCAGCAGCGTCGGAGGCTCTCGGGGGGCTTCGTCCCCTCGGAGGCTTCGGGGGAGAAGCTGCTGTTCAAAGCAGACAGATTAACGCTGCTTTTACCTCCATGAAAGCTGCTGCCAGTCAGGACTCAGCGGGAAGCTGCAGAGATCGATCAAACGCCACAAACTTCTACTGTTCATCAGATTCCGGTCCGGTCTAAATACTGGAGACATAAGTCACGTTTCACTGGTGTTAACGTGAAGATGTGAGCGTTTCTGACAGCTTACTCCAGCTCGACCATCTCTGACTGTATTTACATCATGAACCGTAGATATTTAGGACGGTGTGTAAAATTCTGCATCGAGATTTGAGGCCGTTCGAATGAAAAATAACTGAAAATTGACATGAAAAGTTTCATCTTTGAGCCAATTAGCATAAAAACTGATAACGCAGACGTCAACTGGTGATATTTTCTGAACCAGGTGTCACAAAAATACAAAACTAAACATGTAGAACACTTTAAATATGAAATATTTGGTCACAAAAATGGAGAATAAAGTTGTTTTCGTTAAACTTTCGTTACTGATTGAACAGGTTTATGTTGCAAAAATGGAAATATTGGTCGATGGTCTGATCCAAGTGGAACCAAATAACTTCATTCTGCATTTGTGTGACCAAGTAGTTCTGATTTAAAAGTCTTTTATATGTTTTATTTTATGTTATTGTGACCTGTAGCTACATGTGGCTCAGATAATATCACTAGTTGACTCTTTAAAGATGAGTCTGTTCATGACAACTTCAGTTTTTCGTCATTTTTCAACTCACCTGTGATCAGAAACTATTTGATCCTCTTGGTCCAGTATTGCAGATTTTAAATCAATGGCATGATGAGAAATAAGAGTGAACATTTCAGAGTTTTATCTTTAATAGTTCCTGAGATGTTATCGATCAAAGTCTGCGTTTGACAGCTTCATCTCACAAAGTATTAATATAAGAAGCTAAAACTATCCTGAGGAACAAACCCTGTCGTCAGAGGATCTCGATCAGGCTGTAATTTTATGTATTTGAAGTGAATCGACACCAAACCAGGACGTCTCCTCTGTGTGTGAAATAAAAGTGGACTTCTGCTGCCCTCTGGTGGCCAAAGAGGCTCATTGCACCCATGAAGAAATGCAGAGAAATGAACAAACCCATCATGTGCTTCATTTCCTCGAGTGCTTTCTAAAGATAGACCTGAAGCCTCGGACACGAGAGATCACGCTGCAGTCAGACTCGAAGCCGTAATCTGATTTCCTTCAATAAAGCTCGATTGCGAGGTTCATAAAATCACGATCTTTGTCCTCGATTGCGGTAAAGTTGACACAGCTGGCGTGAAGTCAACCAACCGGGTGGACTTTAGCGGTTCTGTTATCAGGCTTGATGACATTTAATCAACACCGACGTGAGACACATGAAGCTGCTTTATTGTAAAACAACAAACAGAATCGGTTCCATTAGTGCAAATCAACTGGATCCCAACATCTACTGTGTTTAACCCACACTGTGCTGCTCTACTGTGGAGCTGCTGCTACAGTTAAAGGGAAAGTTCAACCAAAACACAGAAAACAGTGCATTTAACACGATGGTTTTACAATAACTGGACAGATTTGCGTCTCTTCTGTTGGAAAATCCACCAAAATGTGTTGGTTTTAGTTGGGAATCCCAGTCTAGAGTGTTGCTGTGGATCATCTTGAGCAATTGGAGGTTTTGTTTCAGCTGCTGAGTTTTTAACGCTGGGGTTCCTCAAACACAAGTCAAACTCACTGGAGGCGTCAGAAGTATGGTGATCTGTGGTGAACTGACCCTTTAACTGGTCTCATTACATCATCTTCCTTCTTCTACACATCGGTTCGTTCCTCTAAACTTTGCCAACATTTTGAGGTAATAAAATATCTTCACTTGTGTCCTATTGTTAGAAAAAAAACAACAACAATCCAAACTGTGTCATCTCTATAAAAGTAATAAAACCCGGTTACTGCTTCTTGAAGATCCTCTTGGCCTCGACGCCTTCGTAGATGTAGGTCTGTGGGGAAACAACAAAGGTGTGGCAGGTTTACGTTTATTGAAACCAGACCGCGGTGATTAACATACGGAGTTTGAATGTGGACCGATGAGGCCGGTGTGGAACCTACTGACCTGCACCATCTCTCCGCCCACTATGACTCTGGTGGTGGTCAGGGCTTTGCCGTTGTCTTTGCGGGTGAACTTGCCTTTCAGCATGTCGCCCTCCATCTCCCACGCTCCCTGTTGGAAACACACAGATGCATGAATTCGATTTGCTCGGCTCAGTTTCCCGAAGACGCATCGAATCCATCAGTGTTTAAAAATAAGATTCCTGGTTTCACCGCAGCTGAAACATCTCGTCTTCCATCTCAAATCATCAGGAACCATCTTTAAAACTGTTTTTATTCTAAACTATAGATATTTAAACTGGTATCCATGAAATTTTAGCTTAATACTTTCCAAGATAGTCACCCGTCGACCCAGTTTCAGTCGATGTTTTTAGCACGTGGAACTTTGATGCTGTTTGAACGACGACATTCCAAGAACTTTAAAAGATAAAAACCTGAAATTTTCACTTTTATTTCTCATCGTTTAACTGATTCAATAAACAGCAACACACAACTAAACATATAGAATCGTTTAAATATGAAGTATTTGCTCACAAAAATGAAAGCATAGACATTTTCATTCAACTTTCATACCTGGTTGAGCAGATCTGACAACTGGAACCAGCAAAAACAAAAATATCTGTAGATAGTCTGATCCATGTAGAGTTCTGTAGTTTCCAAATGAATCTCCAAATATAAGCAATTATTATATTATATACTATCCATCGATCGATATTTTAGTTTTTGTGGTTCAAGTTGTCAAAGCTGCTCAATCAGTCAATGAAAATAGCCTTTTTCTCCATGTTTGTGACCAAATATTTCCCCCATAATCAGAGATTCTTTGATCTACTTGTCCAACATCGCAGATTCTGAATCAATGACATGATGAGAAATAAGAGTGAAAATTTGGGGTTTTTGTCTTTAATAGTTCCTGAGATGTCGTCGATCAAACGGCCTCGAATGTCGGAAAAAGCTGCTGAAAGTGGGCCGACTTTCCGAAAGTTATCTTATATTTGAAGCTCAAATGTCACGGATAATTTGAGCAGAAATCCATCTGCAAACGACTTGTTTCGACCGTCGGGACTCACTGAGACTTCGGTGCCGTCGGCCAGAGAGTAGTCGAACGGGACGCCCAGCGTGAAGTCGATCTCTTTGGTCCTGAAGGTGCTCGACTCCTTGATGTGGAACTTGTCTCCGTTCTGCTCGATGCCGATCTTGAGGTTGTCGTGTTCCGCCAGCTTCCGTTTCACGACGTTGACACCTTGACGAAAACCGAGACTTTGTGTTCAACCTCTGATCATCTGAGACGGAACGTTCTCTGGCGTCGTAAAGCCGATCGTAAAGAGTTTACAGTCTCACCCATCTGCTCCATGAACTTGTCGTAGTTCTCGCTGCGGTCCACCTTCCAGGTTCCGTTGAAAGTCATCTCTGCAGGCTGTCGGGAGGCTCGGTCAGCTGGCGATGAAGCTCTGGCGCACCGTGGGACCGTTAATGCCCTCGGCCTCCATTTATACCCTCCGCCGGCGCTATCTGCCCCCTCCTCCCCCGGCTGGCACCGAGGATGCTCGTCTTTATCTCGCTGATTATCTGCCTGCTGATGTGGCCGTTTACGGACTGTGTGTCAAATAGAGGCCGATTGCGGCTCGACCTCGAGGATACGCTGATAAATAACCGCAGGGCGACTCCCCTCCGCGAACACTGCTGCCCTGTTCTGCCCGGAGCACAAAGGCCGGTTTGAATGGGGGCCGACGGAGCCTCAGGCCTCCCTTTGTCGCCCCGTTAGTGCCTGGCATGAAAACCACTTTCTGTTTGACAACTCGAGCTGCCAACCCTGCTGGAGCATCGGACAAAAGACAAACTTTGCTCTGGAAACTTTCCATTTGAGTGAGAGAACCAGAGTGTCGGCAGAGCTTCAGCACCTTCACCTGCATGTAAAACAAGAGATGTAATGAACGTATGAAACATTAAAACCTGACAGCCAGAAAACAAAGGCTTGGTTTGCATCAACTGTATTGGACTCGAGTCACCTTCTACACCTCCAATCAACTTTCCTGCACTTTAACAAAAGAATGGGAATAAATACAAACGGTTGGCAGCATCCCAACCCTTCAAACACAGCAGCATTGTTAGCGTCGTGCTAGCTGTGGTACGTAGTTAAACACTGTCGATATAAAACGACGTATTGTTCTTTAAGTCTCTGGACAATGAGCCGCTGTAGCTGCATTCCTGAGAGGACGAGCTGCACTCAGAGTCAACCGGTGGATTATGGACACGACGGGAAGACTGAGGACATTGTTGACACCTCAACAAGTTCTCTCAGTCGACACGAGATTCTGTTGAACAATAAGACGTGTAAAGAAAGACAAAGACACCATGATGATGGCAGCATAGACCGTAGTCTACATCCCAGTTAGAAGTCCGTATGGGACTGACATGTCTGACATGATGGATGTTGTAGTTTATGAAAGATGTTGGGGGATAAATCTGTAGTTTATCTTATCAATTAGCTTCTCTGTGTTCAGTAGCATTACAGGGCAAAACTACGATTAGCACAAATCATATTATTTTAATTAAATTGTGGTAAAAACATATCCTTACACTCATTTCACTGTGAAATTATAATCTGGCATCATGCTGGAAACTAGCCAGCAAGCAATTCTTTGCTAGATGCTCACGAGCTAAAGTTAGCAATGGTTACAGCGATAGCTAATAGCGATAGCTAATCTATATCTATATATCTGCAGCTGTTCTTAAATTTGCTGTTTAACGTGAAGCATCCTTCTTTTTCAATTTTAGTTGTTCTGCACACTTTTATATTTATTGTAGGTCGTGTTAGCTGGTTGGCTAGCATTGTGTTTGCTACACCTTTATATTAACAACTTTAGGCAGTGTTAGCTCATTAACACAACATTAGCTACACTTATATATTACAAACTTTAGGCAATGTTTGGTTGTTACTAGATTATTAGCATTTGCAGTTGCGGAGAAAGATTGTCAATGCTTAGCTATTAGCATGCTAAGCTAGTTAGCATGCGTGAGATTTCCCACCCTGTTCCCCTGTCCTGTGCACTAGCATGAACGTGCACAGGTACGAGCAGGCTGGAATAATGCAGGAAATACTTATTTTTACTTCAAATACGTCCTGCAGACGCCCGTAAAGAGTACAGGCTGCTGAAATACTAGTTTGTCATTTATCCTTGAGCTTCCACCGTCCTAACAGATATTGGTTAACCATAGCTGTTTTTTGGCCAAGCTAGCCGTTGCCCTTGTTTTGAGCCTCGATGCTAAGCTAGGCCACCGCTGATTACGCCCGATAACAGCGATAAAAATAATGTTTTTTACGATTTATTTTAGAGCGTAAGTGTCATTAAAGGACAGCGATGTTATAGCCGTTTAATCCTCTTTACTGCTGCCTATAAACACAGGCTGGACTTTGGCTTTTCATTGAACTCATCTGATGAGAGTTCACTGCAGGTTAAACGGAAAATTAGGACGTTGGGAAAAAAAACGTAATAATGGCTTCATGTACTTGCGTTTTATTGGTAAATAAAACCTCGCCCGTCTTTTTACCGCCCGCACCGAGCGAGTCATGAGCTGGATGTTGCAGAGATTTTTCTGGAAAATCAGCCAAATGTGGGAAAAGTTCTCTCAGAATCAGAAATTTTATCATATTTACTGACGTTTTACCTTCGTATTATGAATATTTTCACAGTTACAGGGCTTAAAGTGGCTCCAAATGTCATGCTTGTTACTTTTAAAAAAAAATTAGATATTAAACGTAGAACTCAAATGTGTTTTTTATGTTTATTTGCTGAACTAAAGGAGTAAAACTGCTGGAAAATACGACTGCAATCCATCTATAATGTCAATTAAAATTTACAGATGTGATCGTAAATTAAAGATTAAAAACGAGTCCAACGCGCTCGTCGAAAACATTCAATATCTGCGATGAAATAAGCAGCGATCGGAGGTAAAAGTATGATTTACGTTGAGTTAAATGCTGATAAAAGCTGTTTAATCTGCTTTTTTTTTTTTTTAGGACTGTGATTAGATTAGATGGAGCAACAGTTAAACTCCTCCGTCTGTTTATCAGGTCAGTAAATCATAATTTAATTACTTTCCCTCCACAGACAGATGTATTTATGCAACCGGCTGACGTGTTCATGCAGATGAGGTCAATATTTAACTTTTTAGATTTTTAGAAGCTTTGTTCTGCTCATAGAGGTTTGAATTTAAGACTTTATGCCGTCATTAATGATTAATGATGAACCTGACGTCTGACGCCATCTAGTGGAGCTTTGAAGGCATCGCTGCAGACAGAAGTCTTCCAGGTGAGGCAGAATCTTCCTGTTTAATCTCCTTATTAAAGCACATTTCAGTCACACCTCCCTGATGTGAGGAATAAACGAACACAATCCCACCTAAATACATATATATATATAAATACATCCCACCGCCGCCTCCGGAGAGCAGCTGAGAGTCGACACCATCGAGGCAATGTTTGAATTTGAAATGAGGCCGAGCCGGCGGAGAAAGGAGGCGTTGAGGGTTTGGTAGAAGCAGACAGCAGGACGCTGTGCTGGACAGAACCGAAGAGGAAACGAGATGATTGGTCCGAATTAGGAAAGAGTGATGGAAACCAACGGAGGTGTTGATGAAGGAGCTGCAGTGATTCAGCAGCAATTCAGTTATTTCAGCCTTTCTGTGCCGTTTCAGTGTTGTTGTTTTTTAAATAAGTGTTTCCAAAATAAAAACTCTTCTCCTCAAATTGAACGTTACACACACATGAATCTTATTCTGCTGCCAGTTTATAAAGTTACACATAACATTGAGTAAAGTTAGAGAAAAAAAAACGTATAAATTTACACGTTGACTTTCAAAAATACAAGTAAAAAGTGTAAATAGTCATAATAGTAACCTTTAAATCAAATTACACGATTTCTACTGTATTAAAATCACATTGTTTTATAGATATTTGATGCTCGATCAAAAATCTGTATTTTTACAAATAATTAAAATTTTTTATAATTTTTATTTTTTGTTTTTTTGCATTTTACATTTTGCATTTAAAGTTAAGATTTTTTCACAGGTGTTATTTGAGGAGAAATCTGGCATATTAAGGTTAAAAAACATGTTAAATATTTTTTCTCCCATTAATATTTTATAATAAAAATAAATAAATACAGATAATAACTTGTAATCTCACAGGACAGAGTATTAACCTACATAAACCGTAACAAAAAATACTATAAATAACGTCCACATTAAAATGTTTATCTTTATAGAACCTAATTTGTTCTTTTATAAAGTTTGATGGTAAAATGCAGAGTAAAAAAATTTGTTTTTTGACTGTATTTAAATCGGCGTAAAGTCATTAAATTAACAAAAAGATATTAATATGTATATTAAGGATTGAAAAAATAATCTATAAAAATAATAATACATTTTCTAAATGCCAAAGTTTTGATATTTGTCCTTTTTTTTTTAAATTGCAGTTTTATTTTTAAATTATTTAAATCAGCATAAAGTCATTAATTTAAAATAAAAAAAAAAAGATATTTGCCGATATTTAAAGGAATACATGTGGATATTAAGGATAAAAATTTGTTTAATCATTTTTTAATTCATTTAATATTTTTTTTAATTGTTAATTCACAGATTTTTCTTGTTGCTAAATTAACAGATAATTAATATAATCATAGAGGAAGTCTAAATAAAAACAGTTATTTGTTCTTTCACAGTTTGCGATCATATAATTATTGTTTTTAACGAGTTTAAATCTGGTGCGATGTTGTTATTTTACAGATATTGACTGTTATTTCTTACTTCCAGCATCTTAACATGATCTTTTTCTGGCAGTTTTCCACAATTTCTCTGTAAAGTTTTGCGTAAATCCTTTAATTTGTTCATTAAAATTAAAACTGAAAACCCAATAACGCCTCCAGAACCAGACAGAAGGCCCGATGGTCACCGGGGAGGGACGAAGGCCGTTACCGAGGATCTCCGCATTAAATCCGGAAACGTCGGCTAATTACAGGAGTGAGTTCAATCTGAGCTTCAGAGCAGCAAAAATGAGATATCAGGTTTTTCGTGAGCTGGTGCAGATCTGCAGTAAATAGTGGCGGTTATTGGCCGCCTGGTGGGGGGCTGACCTTATCGCCACACATGCAGCGGCCAGTTTCGTAATTATCTCCAGTAATGAAGCCGTAAAAGTCCTCGGAGGCAGCAGCGTGTCCGTGAATGACTTCCTTACAGCCCAGAGCTGGAAGGGAAGCTGCTACCGACCGAAGCACTTCAACAGACCGATAAACGTGAGTTCATGGATCCATCAGGACGGCTCAGAACTCTGGGTGGTTCAGAGTAAAGACACTGTTGGTGACTCGTGTCGGGTCAAAGGCGTTTACACTCGGTTAAACAGTTAATTGTTCATTAATTGTCCCGCTGACTCGTCATCAAATGTCGTAGATCGATACATTTCTATTATTTTATTTAAGGCTAATTAAAATTGTGCAAACAATCTTAAACTCATTACACTGCTGCATAAACTACAAGTAGTTTGTT